TAATAATTTTTAAAAAGTACTGAACATTATCATAATTGAGAATTATACATTTCTTTTTATAGTTATTGTTTTTATTTTTATTTGAACTACAAACAACTTACAAAACCTCAATTACAAAAAAAATAAAAAATAAAAGGGGACGAATTGAAAAAAGAGACACCATTCCCATACTGGAGGCATGACATAGGCTCAGCAGTGACCAGCACAGGAAGCAATGGTCAGAGACAATTGTCAGCTATGTCTGCACCGTGGACAGCGGAACGAGAGACCCGCGTGCAAGTATTAGCAGGGTCAAAAATATTGAGAAATGTGTTATCATCGATGGGGACTTGAGCTCGTAGGCTCGACCTGGGAGAAGGGGTTGAGAGATTTGTTAAAAGAATATCAACCTCTAGATAGCCGAAAATGGCACTCTCAGACTGTGACAGACATGTGTTGGCTTGTTATGGGCCTATTTTTATATGTTTTATGGTCTGACTCCCCGACGAGCTCTGTCCGGCGGTGGGGGGGGGGGGCATGACAACATAACATTTTTACTATGTCGACTTGTCAAGATTATCTCCCCATGACAACATACAACTTTTATTATGTCGACTTGTCAAGATAACCTATCTCGTCATGACAACAAAACATTTTTAGTATGTCGACTTGTCAAGAAAATCTATCTTGCCATGTCGACTTGTCAAGATAATCTATCTTGCCATGTCGACATGATATGTATATTATGTCGACTTGACAACATAATTATGTTGACAAGTCGTCAAGTCGAATGGCACTTAGGTGCTTCCGTAATTTAGAGTATTTATAATAGAAAAAAACAACTAGGGCCTAGACCTATAATTATGATGATAGATGACTAGTTTTTTTAGATTGTTGTCCTTCCTTGTCTTGATTGTTTTGTGTTTCCATTCTGTAAGTGAACGGTTCACTTGAAATAAAATAAAATAAAATAACATTCACATGATTGATAGACCACATGGACCCTAGATTAGCTGCCACCATGCCACCAACCCTCAAGAAGATGACGGAACCGCTAAGTAAGTAGCTGTAGTGAAAAGTTCTAACTTATCGTCGTTGGTCAGTCAATGACATGACGTCATCTTTTCCACAACCAATCGAGAGAGATAATAAGTTGTTCAACCCCGGCCGTGAGAGACTGGTATGATATGTATAAGAGGCTACGTTCACACACACGGCGTAAGGCTGACTTAAGCCTGGCGTAGCGTACACCTTTGTGTGTGAACTAGGCAGTGGCGTTGTTAAAGCCACTCACTACGCCACGTCCTTGGCGTTATTAACGCTACCTGCAGACCCCAGATTAGCTAACGCCACTGAGCTAACGCCAGTGATGCTTGAATGATTTGACCTCATTTCAAAAAATTGACCAATCACGATTGCAATATATTAGCTACTTTGGTCTCTTTTCTGTGCTCTCTATAAATGAAATGGTAAAGGGGTTCCTTTTCTATTGCATTTTACTTAGCTATAATGTATATGATTTATTTATTGTGTTTTGTAAGATATTTTAACCATTTAGACTGTCTATTAAAACATGTAACATCAACAATGCTAGCTGAAAAATCAAAAGTAAAATTGTTCATTTAAAATACAATAATCATATAAGTTCACTTCGAACAATTCACAGATTTAAAAGTTTTCAAGATGCACTGTTAATTTTACTACTGTCAACACGTACATTATTTAAAACTGAAAACTATTCCACATAGGCCTATATTACTGCTAGTTTAACGAACGCCGTTTGTGTGAACACTTTGGAATTTTAATCCGTGGATTAGCTTACGCCTGGCGTAAGCCACGCCAGTCTTACGCCGTGTGTGTGAACATAGCCATAGTATTTTGTGGTGTGAAATCGACGAATATCTCAATTGCATCCTGCTGCAGACCGGCAGCGAGGCGAGGTCAGCCACGCTTTGCAAAAAGCAGTCAGACATTGCAAAAAGCAGCCAGACATTGCAAAATCGTTAATGCAAAAGAATAGCCTGGGCGATACCATTTTCGCGAAGGTAAATTGACTTTCGACATAAATTTTTGAAGAATTGGGAGGGGTGAAAAGCACCCTCCCCTTGAATGTGCAACTGTAAAAATAAAACTGAATATATTATTTAGTGATTAACATGGTAATTTTATAATATATTTTACCCAATTATAATTATAGAACATACGGTACACGTTTTTATCAGCCACACTCCCTGAAGTGGTACAGTATGTTCCACTTACATAGTGCATACTAAATACTATAATCTATTCCTTTCATTGTACTGTACTATTGTAATTAGAATGATTTCTCGCATGTGTTGCTTTTGTATTGTGACATATCCTCGTCGAACATTATGTAGACTAGTGTTAATGTACAATTTTTTCTTTTTGATATTTTAATGGACATAGGTACTCAAACTATGCTAGTAATTGCAAGACATTGAAAAAAAAGGCACTATGGTATATTTCATCTAGATCTGTGCACGCGTCTGGATGGTTAATCAGCACAAACATTTTCTCCTTACGCACATTAATATGTGATTGCCGCTGCCGCCACCACCGTGTCCAGCACCGCCGCCGCCACCTCCACCATTATCATCATCAATATTATTATTATTATTATTATTATTATTATTATTATTATTATTATTATTGTTATTATTATTATTATTATTATTAATATTGTTATATATAGAGTTCTCCTGCATGTTGCACCTTTGTTTTCAATCAGACGTTTGTTACCGTCCATTACGCCTGAATGACTTCATAATCTGGTTTAGAACATGCTATCTGGAATAGGCATTTTAAAACCTAATAATTTACCATCAAAATGTACTAAAAACACAAAATCTTGCATTATTTACTTATCGAACACACATTTATTTTAATCCTCAACTAAAATTTACAAAGACAATCTAAGGTGCAATATCTTAATCATTACGTTAAAAATTGGGATCAATGGTTTGTCAGTGGAGAAAATGGCACCTGGTTGAACTCATTTTGTGTCACTGTAGTACTCTCTGCACAGAGACATATTATATAAAATCAGATGACAAGTATTTAATGAAAAGAAGTCATAGGTTTACCCAAGATGCTCTATTTCTTGAACCCACTAGGGCTCCTACAGGGCCCTAAACGCATGTAGATATGTTAGGTCAATAAACATATGAAAAAAGAGTGGTGAAAAATGTCATTTATTTTGGCTGCAGACTAAAATATTATAAAATTAAATTTAGACATACGAAATGCGAATGTACTTTTTCAGGAGGTGAAGACCCAAGAATTAAACTGATAGCAGCGGCTTACTTGTAATTTTACTTCAACTAGACGAGACTTTTTTTATACCTTGTTTCGCAAATTCATCTCTCGCACAAACTGATGATGTCAAATAAAAAGAAAATATTCTTTTTGTTCAATTAGCACACCTGCACGAACAATGGAAATTCCAGAAAAAATACCAGGTGTTTTTAAAATTAGTTATTTCGCCCGCAAATGTGTGTCTAAGTCATACAGCATTCTTTATATTCCTACAGTACATTCATAGATAGTAATGACAAACTGTTACTTTTCTACAAAGGAAAATGCCTGTATGTAGAGGCAGCCTAATAAACGTGTAAGAAAATGTTCTGAGTTCTGCTAAATTAAATTGTAAATCAGGTTTTGTTATTGTGGCATTTGTGTCAAATTCCAATATTAAAATATAATAATAATGGGCATTAACATTGCACTTCAATCAAAAAACAATATTGGGAACATATAAAACTTTCGACTACTTTTTAAAGACAATGTATCATTTTTCAAGACACACATCATTTGGATAAGGTATTAGATGTTAAGACTTACTGATTGTTTACTTTTATTGATTACTTTTTTACTTGTACTGATCAGATACTACATTCTGTAAAAAAAACTATCTGATTTATGTACTGTGCAAAAACATGAATTAAATGAAATGCTTTCACTGTATAATAATATTATCAAAATATTTTACCATTTTTTTGGTTTATAAATGTGCCTCCCACAATAGGATAGTTTATTGTTTATATTGTACATACAGTTTTAAAATATGTATAAAACTTGTATCGGTAACTTTGTGCACTCAATATCAGATGAAATTTAGAGAACTGGTCCAAAAATTGATATTCTAGCCTATTTGTACATGTCTCTTTGTTTAAATGCCTGATAAAAAAGCACCTGTGTAAAATGTTAACACAAAAGAAGACTAATTTAAAATGTGATTACAAAATTAATTTAGGATGAAAATGTACAGTGTAGGTACAGCAAAAACAAGCTTGTTATGGACTGCTGGAAAAACAAGCTGTTATGGAAAAACAAGCTGTTATGGACTGCTGGAATTGGCAGTCAATAACAAATAAAATCCAACGACCTGAAACAAATACAAATATAAGTTTGGTTACTTTGCCTGAATAAATACAATTTATTGAATGTAAACCACAAATTTTCACATCAATTTTCTGTATTTCTTAATGAAAGGTATTGTGCCTCTATTATCTCATCACACTTAATGGCTTACTGTTCTTTTTGATAACATGATGGTGGCTATAAATTAAAATATAAGATCACAGATACTGCTTTCATCACATGGGAAATGGTAAATCATAGGCTTCAAAAGTTTGTAGTTCTTTTTTTAGTCACAATGTTAAAATTCTGTAAATCAGACCTAGTTTCTATTCTGTTAATGCTGTTTCCCACTGCAATAAGTACTTGAAAACACTACTCACGCTGCAGAATTAGGTGAAATGCTCTCGGCAAAATTGGTCAAATTATTGTTTAAAAGAGAACTCGCAAAACGATTTTTTGTTTTTGAGGGGATTTTTCATATTTCATTAGAAAATGAATCAATTTTATTATCCTTATTTTGGAATTTTTTATAAAGTTATAGGTAATTTACGAATTCGCCAATGACGTCATTGGCGAATAAAGTAACCCCAGATCGTATTGCCGCTGGCGGCGCTATACATTACTTGCTNNNNTTGCTGTTACTCATCCTGACAAGAGTTGACAACCGCTGATGCATATCAAATGCATATTCAGTAAATCGGCGCGGCCTGCAACATAACCTTCACAAACGAGGTTGCAATGGCCGATCATAGAAGGCCGATGGGTTTTTTATTTGAACCAGAAAAACATAAAGATAGCGTGGAAATCGATGAAGCACATGATTATGATCAAGAAGTCGATGAGGCCATGGAAAATAGACTGGATAATTTAAACTGGTGCGCTTGCGGCCAATGTCAGCTAATGCCTACAAACGGAGAATGCCTGTGTTGTAGGGAAGAAGATATTTTTACTTCTAAAATGGACGAAAACTCTACTTGTTGTATTTCGAAAACACAGACATTTAAGAATGCGTGCAAGAATAAGGATATATTAGAAATTATCATGGCAGCGTTAAAGGAGGTTGTTGATGAAGATTTACGTGATCCCATTTCGAATAGGTATGTAACCTTAGAGAGGCTAGGTCTATCTATAGCCTATTAAATAATATAGGCTTATCCACCACTATGCCGAGGACTATTATAATATTATTATTGTTACTATTAGGCCTAGCCTAGAGAAAGCATTCCCACCCCCCGCCTTCAAGCGTAGCCGAATCGTTTGTGTCTAGAATAGTCGACGGTTGGGTAGGCCTAGAAAATTAACAGAAAGTAAGTTTCGAAAACAAACTTAGCTTTAGTTTAGGCCTGTGACAATCATGCCACCACCATGCATTGTGCAGTCTTGGGTGTAGGCTAGACGGGATTGCTGTACTGCATGCTTGACTTTGATACCTCACTTTATAGTCGTGATGCGCGGCGCCGCATAGGCAAGGCTGGGCCTAAGCACCCTGGCTCTCCTGTATTAGGGCCTGATTTGACACTGGGCACAGCAAAATATCGCCATTTGTAATTTATGTAGCCAAGTACATTCCCAATAAACAATGGCATTAGGTATATGCAATTGAAAATGAGAATAAAATCATTGCAAAACTGGACGCAAAGGAAAAAAAATAGAAACTGTCCCTCATATATTGTATAACAATTTAATGCCATGGGCATTTTATTATATTATAATACTCGCTTAGTGGAAATTTGCTGCCATATGGGGTGGGGGAGTGTAAACCTCCATCCATCCCTCCCTACAGTATCCTACAGCCATGATTGATTTATTTTTACCATGTTTAATTTTAATTAATAGGTTGTACAGATATGCTGCTTATAGAAGTTTCACCTGGTGGGTGTATGGAAAACTTGGACGAAAACGTAGAAAGGTTATTCCAGCATGTGCTGTCCATGCCATCCGACATCAATTTCCAGAGGCAGACCAAAATTATGAAGGCTACCATGATGCTATCAAGAACATTTCACTAAATGAAGACACTTTTGAATACATCATAAGTTATGTTTGTATACCAACTTGAGTGTGCTAAGGCGATACTTCTTTTATAACTATACATACAACAACACACCATACTATACTATACAGTACTATGTAATTCTCACGTGAAGGAGGCCCTCTAACTGGCCTTTTCAAAGTCAGTGTTTTTTATGGCTTCACACATGTGCATGCAAAAAATTTTACTTCTCTTTCAAACATCGTTTTCAGCTTTAAAATTTAACATTGTGCTTGATTGTTTTATTGAATGATCAATATATATAATAAACAAATATCTATGGAAGTTGTGTTGGGAGTAAAATCCACAATCTAGGTATTTAAGAAGGTAAAAATGTCCCAGTATAGTACCAGTGGAAATACATAGGAATTTGGGTCAACCCTGATTTTACGAATACCCACATTTACGAACAGCTCTGGGCCCGTGCCGTACATAAATGAGGGGTTCTACTGTACATCCCTTTTCAATATCTTTTTAAAATTGAACCATGGCATTATTAATATATTATTATTAATAATAATAATAATTATAACTATATCTATATAGCGCCTGATCACAGATCACATAGGCGCTTTACATAAATTTTAATCTATTCATTTTTTCCAAGTCTGCTAATAAGACCTTCAATAGCTTCTGTTTTGAATGGTTTTTCGCCCCTTCCAATTGAGTTTCTTGCCAAAACTGGGATTTTGATTGCTGATTGTTCTGTTTCTGATCCTGGAAGGTAATAAAATCAGAATTATATAACATATTAAAATCATTTTCAGCTACCTGTTCATATTCATATAGATGTTCGAAATTGTATGTTACATTTTTATTGAGACTTATTTGGCCACTGTAACTTACCACTTTTATGCATGTCAAAAGTAGCATTCAACAGGTCTGTCCGAAATGTAAATTCCTTTGGATCATTGATATTTTTAACTACAAATTGATGGCTTGCTTTGGACCATTGTAATTTCCACCTTTTTTCGCCACTAATAGTGGTTGCCTGTTTGCGGCCTACATTTGTGTTGTTATCCAATGCTGGTAAAAGTGTCCTGGCAACTGTACACTCGTAACGAAAAGCAATTCTTTTTGGAACATATTTCAGAAGGACGTTGTGAAATACCTCCAAGTCACCGGTGTGACAGACAGTAAGTATTGGTTTTTTTATTAGAATGAAAGTGAATTATTCCATCAATACACTGGTGAATCTGAAAGGAAAATATTTAAGCATGCTTAGGTTGCTAGTTATTAGGTCGGGTAGGCATTTTAATAATACCATATCAGTAATATTACTTTCTGTAGTATAGAGTATGAGGTAAAGTAGTTTACTAAAATAAGGCCAACAAAAAATTGTTTGCCCTTTTTTTTTTTAATTGACAGGCGGGTGGAAAAAGTTTTTTTTTAATTTTTTTTTTAAGATCGTCATCAGATGGAATAAAAATAACCCACAGAAGCTAGAATTGCAATATCTTGCATCAAACAACAATTTTAGACTAATTTTTTTGTAGGACATATATTTGTAAAAAAAAAAAAGTGTTTTGTGGTTTTTCAATCCTTATGTTTTTTCAATGAGGAGGGCAAACCAACATTTTTTTGGCCTAATAGTCCTACCTGACCTAAGATACACATACTACAATTATTTTAAGAAATCCAACATGTGTGCAAGTCCATAAATTCAGACATTATATTATTTAATTTTCAAGTTCTAGAAAATTAATTTTTATCAAGAAAAAAAGTATATTATAAAAACTTTTTGAGAATAATTTAAATGAACATCTAATTATAATATTGTACGTCAGTACGTAATACTGTACTATTATTGTACGGTATTTTTTATTCAGTACAAAAATAATAAATTAAGCGCTGAATCAGTCTGTATCAATTTGTAATATAATTTTATTAAAAACGCGCAGGAGAAGCGACAAACAACTTCATGCATATCATTTAAACGCTAGCACTCGGGGAGAACAGTCAGTGTCCTATGGAAGCTTGCTTTTGATGACGACCTTGTTTTTTAGGCCTATAGTATTTAATGCTGACGAAACAAAACAGGAATAACAATTATCCACGCCTCTTCTTAAGAAAACTATTTAGGCTAAAGGAAGGTTTTTCATCGTCTTATTGATCGACTAGGCCCCTAGTCAAAAAATGAGTATTTTTGAACTAGGGCCTAGGTAGGATACTGCCTTGGTCCATGCCAACAAGAGCACGAACCCATGCTGGAATATATTACGGGATTTAATACAACACTGGACATAATGAGGTAGGCTAAGTAAAATTTCATTTTGTTCTCAATAAACTTGAGATCAACAGAAAATTTAAAAAAAAACCTAGATCTTAGGGCCTAGGCCTACCTACCTTTGTTTTTTGAGGTCTGCTGCTGCTGCTAGCCCCGAGCTTTCCTAGGCCTAGATATGTCGTGGGGGTAGATGAGGATGGCCTGACATTCACTTCAGTTGCAGTTTTATGGTTAAATATTGTTGGAACAGCATCCTCATTTAGCTTATTTCGTCGTTGTTTTAATCCTAAAATTTCTGATCTGACATTTCGACTGAAAGAACTCTGATCAAAATGAGCGCTGCAAATTCTGGAACCTTTTTTGACAGCTTTTGGATTTTCTAACTTCATTGCATTTAACCATTTTAACCGTTTCTGGTTTGCCAAAGGTAGCCTATGATAACTTACATTAGGCCTAGGCCTAGTATTTTGATTTTTACATCCAGGCACAATACACAAATTTGGCATTGTGATTTTTTTTTTCAAGGAGCCTACCTTTTTAGGGCCTAAGCTAGGCCTTGGCGAGATGATATTATTAATTAGGTTGGACTTAAAAATTATTTTTTAACTTTTATATTTCGCCGATGAGATGTTGACGTTGCTGTTTCATGTATCCAGGGCGTTGTCAAGGAGTCGGTGATTACTAAATTTAGGCATAGCGTAATTTCTTTATTCCCAAAAATGGGCCACGACCTTCTTTCTTGATAAAGAAATAAAAATAAAATAGGGCCTAGGCCTAGTTACAAAAAAAAAAAATATATAAATAATCAGTTTCTAAACTTGCAGTATCTTCATTATTTATTATACAATCTCATAGAGGAATTTTTAATAATTTCATACAATACTAGTTGTAGGCCTAAGCCTACACTTTCATAATACTAATTAGGCATAGGAGACTTGAGTGATAAACAAGAAGAGTAGTAGTAACAGCAAAACACAGCAAGTAATGTATAGCGCCGCCAGCGGCAATACGATCTGGGGTTACTTTATTCGCCAATGACGTCATTGGCGAATTCGTAAATTACCTATAACTTTATAAAAAATTCCAAAATAAAGATAATAAAATTGATTCATTTTCTAATGAAATATGAAAAATCCCCTCAAAAACAAAAAATCGTTTTGCGAGTTCTCTTTTAAATATTGCCGGTCTTAAATTACCTTTATGTCCACGATCTGTGATATAACACTATTAAAACCATATTTGATTGCATACTGATTGAAAGATGTCTTTTATTTACAAGTTGATACTCTTTAAATATAACAAAATCATGGACATGGGGTGGCGGTGGGAGGGGGGGTGCTCAGGAACCTGAGTTTAACAAAAGTATAAAGACAGTTATACAGATAAATTCTTAATGCCATTCTCCACAATGAAATGGAAGATACCAAAAACACTATTTCGATATTATGCTGTACAGTTAAACTTACAAGTCGACTTTGCCTAACTCAAAAAATTTCTAAGTCGATCTCATTTTACATGCCTAATTGTTGAGTTATACATTAATAAACAATCTCTAAGTCCAAGAGTGCTCAATGGCATTTTGGATGCATTTTTGGACTATGCAAGTTCAATTGTACAGTATACAATGTCTGGTTTTTGAGATGAAATTTCTAAAAAATGGTGGAGTATACTAACTGGAGGCCTCAGTAGGAAGATATGGCAATATATTTTTTGCATAGCGGATTAAAAAATTTCTAAGGAATTTTTGTTTCATTCGTATGATAGAGGATTCTCCTAGTTCTACTTTAAACGTAACCCAGCGATTTAGAGGTGGTTCGTATTTTATGTTATTAGCTCCAATTTTGATTCCATTAATTTACACAGTTCTTCAAGTGTTTTAACTATAACATACAACAATATATTATGGTATATATTATACAAAAACGAGCGTAATTCTAATTTTAATTAACAAACAAAAAATTTTCACTGGTTTGATCTCAACAGGTTTCTGGACAAAATGGCAATAAGTAAGTCAAAACGAAAATGACCAAAATGGCAACACTTTTGATTTAAAATGGTAATAGACCACAATGGTAATAAGTCAATGCGGCAAGACCAAAACGATGCTAAACAATTTATGTTTAGCAATTTATGTCAATTTATATTTTAACAATTTATGTCAAAAGTAAAAACGCGAAAAAAATTAACTAATTATAAACATGAAAGTGTACTAAGATTAAATATGGTAAAAACGAGTCTAAATACAGCAGCAGCAGCAAGAATATCAATAACAATAATAACACGTTTGACGTCACAGCACGTTAGATGACGTAGTCGACGTCATCGAGTTGACGTCATCGAGTATCCGTTTCTCCACCTAACATAAGCGACGAGGCAATACAGAGACAGTCTTAAACGATCAACGAGACGATGAACAAGATTCTGTTGCTCTTTGCTCTGTGCACCGTAGCCTCCGGCACGCACTGCGAGGTCGGGAGATTCGCATGCATGTTGACGAGTCGGTCCGGTTACTCTCTCTCCGTCGGCGCCGGAGTGAATACCACGACGCAGGGTGACGCCGAATACATGCAGAGATCGTCGGCTACGCTCAACAGCTTCACTATGCGGTCCTGCCGCACCGGTAGATACCTGTCCTCGGAAGTAAACGGAACGATAACGGCCGTTGACGAGTGCGAAGGGGACCTCTGTCACTGGCAGGAGACACAGACGTGGAAAGGTAGCGCGTTCAAGAATATGGCCACCGGACGTTACCTGTCCATAAGAAAGAACGGCGAACCGTCCTCTTCCTGCTCTTCGAAAGCATCGAGAAACAGAGCCAACTTCATCTACCATAGTTCTTGTTTAAAATCCAAAGGATAAAAAAATGTAGATAGAATGTAGAAAAAATAAAAGTTGACAAAAAGAATAAATTGCGTCGTTCGTTTCTATCTTTTCTTACCCGCGTGTATGTGAGTGTGTGTGTGTGTGTGTAC